GAAATCATAAAGAATAAACTTGTTATATTACGATTTAATTTTTTTTTTCTTTTGTCCATGCTTCAATTAAAAAGGGCGAACCGGAGCAGTGTTAAAATTGTTCCTTCACGAGTGAAAGGTCATGAGTTCGAATCCAGGAAATAGCATCTTTGCAATTATGCAAGGTTAAGGTTGCGTACAAGAATTTTCTCCATCTCATCCTCACTAGTCGGATTTAACAGGGAATGATTTTTTTTTTGTCCATGCTTTCAATTGTTACCATAGTGTTCTCCTTGTCCTTATATTTGTACTCGCTATTTTTTATTTTTTTGGTAATCAATTGTTCTTTTATTTTGTTTTTGAGAAAAACAAGGAACAATCAATGAGTTGGGTCATAAATGCGGCTTGCACTCAAATACCGATTGATCCATCACCATTAAGTTGTTAATCATGTTATCATAAATAATGTCATAGTTAGAAACTCGCTTAGCTGGTTGAGCAGTAGTGAACCCAAACTCAGTAAACCTAAATTTTTTGGCTAAAATTTACAATTATGGATCGTGTGTCAAAGTTCGTCACGCTTCGAAATTTATTAGCATGACTCCGAATTAACCAAACATAGTTACGCCAACTGATGAACCTTTAAACGACCTACGACTTTCATATATAGTTGTAAGTTTGAATTTTGCTTAAATTATTTTGAAAAAAAAAAAAAACTTTAAACCTTTAATATGTATGATTTGAGAAGTTGAAGGACTCAACCTGAACGTGTTATTGAATTTTATTGGCGAAAGATCACCCTAATTGGAAGAGATTTTTTGAACTATAGCCAAAAAAATTATAATAAAGAGAAGTAGAGTTTATATGCTTTTAGGGATACTTATATTTTCTTTTTGATATTTGAAAGTATCCTCCGGCCAGGGCCGAAAACTAATCCTTTCAAGACGAAAGATTATATTAAGTGAGTAAACCTCGAACTCCTATCGAGATGCCTAAGGAAGCTAGCTACCGACTTTGTTGGTATATACTTATATTTTTAGTGGAAACATAAAATGAAATGAGACAATAGTGTGTTAATTATTGTATTTGGTCATCCACAACAGAGATTTTAATCTGATGATGGGAAACTACACATTCTCTGCTATACAGTATTTACAATTTACAACATCAAAAGCCAAAATCAATCGACTTTCTCTCTCCACCCGATCTGACTTGGTCCGGGTCAACCCGTACCCGATCTTGACCCGAGAACAAGATCCGGTTCAGTTTTCCGGCGACTACTATGATTCTCCACCGAATTCAACCTCACACCTGACCCCAGCAATTCAAGTACATCACTTTCCGGAGGGAATCGTCAGCTTGTCTCAGACTACCTTCGACGTCGGAGTTCCCGGTCACAGCTCCGGCGACACCCGATCCCATGACGCCGGCGGAGAATAGGCGACTCCGATTTTGGTGAATAGAGTTGATGGCCGTCTTGCACTTATGGCCAGGGTCGGTGTGGCCCTGCGCCACCGCCACGGTGGCCGCCATCCAGACACGGTTCAAGTAACTCATCTTTCTTTCGATGTTTTTAATGTTTTGCCTCCGAATTCAGAACTCAAGAAACGTCGTAGGAAGTTGCAAGAAATGAGGAAGTAGTTATTTATATAGAAAATAAGGAACCACTTGGGATGTAGTTTTTCCGAGTGGTGGGCCCTTATCTTTAATAAAAGATGTATTTTTTATATCATTCTAATTGAGATAAGTGGTGGTGGTGGTAGGTATTTCATAAGATTTAATACATTCAATCCGTTGTGAAATTAATTTTGAGTTAAAAATTAGTTATATTAAAATTTATTGCCTTGTTATAAAAAAAAATAAAAATTTATTGCCTTCGAAAAATATATTTGATAAAAATTAAACTCAAATTTTCTCTCTTACTCTTCCCATCTACTTAATAGAAATGTTTTTGATAAACATAAAAAAGTAATTCGAAAAAATATGTGTTTTAGATTATTCTAAGAAAGAAATAGACAAAAATAAAATAAAATGAAATTCACACCTTTTTTATTTTATCTTATATTTTTTTAAAAAAATTTGTATCTCTTTATATTTATCTCTTTCTATATAAATTATTTGAGTTTTATAATTGAAATTTTCTTACACACCTTATGAATTTTGTGCTGACATGAATTTTACATATAATTTTTTTAAGATATAAGTCCCGCATATTTTTTGTCTCTACAACACGAGATTTTAATTATCATGTAACTGAAAGTTATAAAACCCAAATTACTTTTCCTAAATAATTCATGTTTTGATTAATAATATGGTGAGATTGCAGAATCGAGGAAACAGGTGTCGTGCTTATCCAAAAGGGAAATTTATGACTCATCCATAGTCCACCGATTGCAACCCAACAACCATTCATGTACTGACATTTTTGTTTCTCTTTTTTGTTGAAGCAAGACATTTTTGTCTCTTTCTTTTATGGCTTTCCACAAATTCTCTCTCATCAATTAATAATGAATTTTAGGTCCCGTTAGGGATTATTATTTTATGTAGGGATAGTCTTGTCCTTTTAGTGCAGGACAATCCTGAAACCTGATCTGAATCTGGTACTGCTTTATCACTTTTTATTTGTTTATTTATTCTTTTGTTTAGTTGGGTGATGTACTTAGTCATCGAGTCACACGTTGAAATGTAGTACCGTGACACGTTGACGTGGTCATGGGATGATGAATGGGCCTGTTGTCCTATGAGCCCTGATCATGGGCTCAGAATGGGCATCACGTGCATGCGCATGACTGAATGGGCACTTTGAGCACCGAATCAATTGCATGCCTTAGAGCACGTTTGGACGGGTTTTTTTTTTCTTCAAAAGCTGATTTTTTTAAGGAAAAAAAGCACTTCTCGAAAAAAATCTGTTTGGATGCTTGCTTTTAAAAAAAGCAGAAGTAATAAAAAAAGCTAAAAACTTACTTTTCTCGGAAACTAAAAATTTTAGCTTTTAAGAAAAGCAGAAGTCAAAAGTCAAATATTTTTTTCAAAAAACATATATTTTTAAGAAAATCTAAATAGCTGTAACTTTTATAAAAAATACTTTTAAAATAAGGAAGTGATAAAAAAGACTTTTTTCAAAAGTCCATACAAACGACCTCTTATTCCGACATTCCTAAACCCTAAAATCAAAACCAGCAGTGTTTGCTTGCTCTTCCTCTTCCTTTAGGTTAAATAATATAAATTATTAAAAAAATCTTCACTCAATAATTTAAGTTTTTGAGTTAGAAGATCACAAGTTTGATTCTTAACGCTCCTACTTTCTAGTGAAACTAAATAAGTACAAGATAAATCAATGCTTCAAACCCAAAGGGCGAGAATAATATAAATTATTAAATAAATCATTATCTAATAATTTAAACTTTTGAATTGAATTGACTCTTTATAATATCTCGAAAATTACTTTTGAAAAACAAAAAAGGCAATAGTAATTAATAAGAACCGTAGCGTACGTGTATGTGATGCTCAGAAGGTATTTTATATGCAATGAAATTTAGGGAGAAGCTTACGTATGTAGGATCTTCCAAATATTCACTGACGAAAGCTTGCTCACAAGTGTTCATATACTAGGATTTCGTATTATTATGCATTTGTCTTCATTTGAAGGAGCCATAAAAAAATTACTAAGATGATGATATGAGATTTTAGTATTTTACAATTTCAATTTGCACCATATCACCCACTTTGGTCCCCATTGTAGATTTATTATATTGGACATGAATTGTCTCTTCCTATTCTTCTTTTAGTTGTATCACCTTTTTCATTTGTTATGAACTTTTATTTTTAAAATTGAAGTTGTTAGGTATACATGAATAATATGCATACCATATTTCTCACACAGAAAAGTCCTTTTGAGTTTGGAGTATGAATTTTAGGTCATGAAGTAACTTTTCCAAAAATTTAAACCACGGAAACACGTAAATAATTTTATAATTTCATATCACATCTAAATTCTAATACACTTTTTCTTGCACGGCATCTCTACTGCTCAATCATCAATGATTGTAACATCAGGATTAACATAATGATTCCCCTTCATAATAGGCACTTAAATATTGCACTTTTAAAAAGGATATATTATATATATGCCCATTTGCTTACTTTTTAAGTGGACCTGCCCCACTTTGTAGATCATGACAAGTTTTGGTTAAATCAGCATTGTAATATCATATTGCAGATGGCGATGGTGGCTGCTTAATAATTATCTTTTGATAAATTTCCCTGTCTACTACTTCTAGCCATTAACCTCTTCACATTTTTTATTTTTAAATTTTATCAAAAAGAAGGATAAGATCTCTGAATTCATTCGGTCTGCAAGCTACCAAGCTTTATATATCGCTTAATAAAAAAGAATTCTTACTATATAAGACCTATTTTTATTAACTTTTTCCAGCAATACCTTTGTTGTTTCGGTGATTAAGACCAAACCTTTTTAAGTAAAAATGCTCATGCTTTTATAACACTTTCTCGACCAGATAAGGCAAAGCATACCTATGTCTGAGATGTTGCCATATTGTAACCAAATCAATGACAGAACGTGTATTACATTAACAACCACTTATCCGCATCCAAAATTTTTGAACATGGGAGAGAAAATACCAACAAGAAAGGATATAAATTTTCATTTTTTGTTGCTTTAAGAAACTGCATAAAACAGCCAAAGCTGTCATGTGACTTGTGTCTAGCATTAAAGCATGAAAAAAGAAGACTATAATAGTAAACTTGAATTTGGTAGTTTACTTCCTTGTAATGAAAATATAATTATATAATCTATCAGAAGTGTTCCTTTAATGCTGCAAATATGATTAGACTGACCAGTAAGATTATTAAATGAGCAGAACCCTGACCATCATGGGAATTGTAAAATTGTTGAAAATGGGGTTCCAAGGTGAATAGGATAACAAAGAGGCTACATCAGTAGGCAATCTGAAGCAAATCCAACCACAGCAATAACTACATGAAAATTAAAATTCAGTTCAACAATTTCATTTAAAACAAACAAGCTATCTACAAGTTACAGGATATGGCGTAAAAATACAATTAAGTACAGCCCATCATAGTATTATTTCACACTCATTTAACATCACAAACATTATTGAAAAAAAGAAGAAGAGGGGGGGCCGGGGGGTTTGTTCATAGTTCATAATATCTCTTCATAACACTTTTCTAGGTCACTCAACCACATTTGAGAGATCAGTGGCCCAGGAATTCAATTTCAGAACATACAGTTGGAGAACACTAAGGGCTTTCCCAAGGGGAAAAATAAAAAGAAAGAAAGGAATACTTTACAGTTTACACTGAATCAACACCTTCAACCTGTTGCTGGGCCAGGTATCTTTCTCTTCTTTCTTTCTACACAAGGGACAAGGGAACATAATATGAAAAAATGGAAGGGCAGAAACCAATATAGAACAAAATGGGGAGAAAAATAGTGTCTTGAAAAAAAGTGTCTAACCCATTCATCTAAAACAAGCCCCTTCCCAGCTACTCGGGGACCTGTCTCCTCTGGGAGTTTCTTTCGTGCTTCTTGTGCAGCCTCAGCCTCAGCCAACTGCCTTTTAAGCTTTTCCAAGGCCTTTAAGAAACAACAGTTTTCAAATTATGACTCCACATAAAATTGTTGAAGTCATATGACACATATGAGATATACAATCTTACAGGACTAGGGCGTTCGGGGTCGAGAAAAATAACCCGCAGAATTTGCTCTACTGCTACTTGATCCTTTTGCTCGTCAAACTGCAGCAAGATCCATTTGACACAACTTTGGTCAGCATCTGAAAGCATTCTGCAACTACATATTGATGAAACCAAACCACTTCATCCCAAATGTTAAAAGTAATATATTTGAAATACAATAGACTTGGTTTATCAATCATTAGATGGATAAACCTAAGAATTGCAAGTCACACTTGCAACAGATGGATTATAAAAAATGATTTTGAAACATATTTTTCATTATTATTTATCTTTATTTGATAATTGCAATGAAAGCAGGTTGTGTACTTAATTTAGTCAAAAGTTGTAAAGCTAGGAATTAGAAGTGTTGCATGAAATATTTAGTTTTCAAAATCTTAAACACTCACCTAAAATAAAATGCAGAGTACAATACACGAGCATACAATTCATACTAAATTCAATTCTAATAATAATTGTGAGAAGAGAATTAGGAAAGGTTCAGGAATATATTTGAGTGTGACACAATACATGTCACAGCCTCACAAAAGTATATATTACAGATGTAGATATAGGAAATAATTAAGCTACCGCTCAAATCTCCAGAAAGAGTTTAGCATTAAAGTAAAAACAGGTCATGGATAAGCATATAGGTACCAAAGCCTCCTGTACTTCCAATAACTGACACTTACATGATAAAATTGAAAATTCCAACTTGTTCCCCTCAAAATCGAAAGAAAGCATGTACAAAAAATAATCTCTAGAACTATTTATAAGCCAAAACTGTCTCAAAGATTTCAACAATAGTCTTGTGGAATGTAATTTTCCCGTTATTTAAATTTTAGGGGTTTATGGAAAAAGCTAAGATCTTGATCAAAAACTTTGGTTAAACTAACTTTTGCCACTAAAAATCTGATTTTATGACATATACACAATCATGAAATCTTCAATTAGTTCAATAGAAAGAAAATTTCAACTTAAGCTTACATAAACAAGCAACCATATAAATGAAAACTATGAAGGATGATGCCAGATGTCATGGAAAGGAGCAAAAATACATTACCAGTTCCGGTACATAGTCCATTTCCCCTTTCACTTTTAGGCTCATGATTTTAAACTTAACCTTGCTTTTTTGATCAATTGGTCTCTCATTGTTCTCTAGTGGCTCCACAAACTTAAATACTGTCAAATACGAGACAATTGTAAGAGGTTTCACCAAATTCCAAGCATTTGACTAGGTTGCTTTAACACAAGTTTAGAAGGACAAATTACCAGTGGCAATTATACTTTCACCAGGTGCAAGAATACCACCTGGAGGACGCATATAACAACTCTTGGGTGCAGTTGTTTGAAACTAAAATAAAACAAAACATCACCTTTAGTAGTAACCTTAAGAGTGGATAAATCAAGGAAGCAACAAAAAAACCATTAGTACATATCTAGTCAGTATAAAAGAACATAAGTGTTCATATCATCCTATAAATATATGCTGGGGAACAAAATAGAAAATGGTTAACATGCTACACTTCCTATCATCTAGTTACTATAGCAAAATTTATCAAGATTTTCAAATTATTTTGATGGAAAACTCCCATGATGAAAACTATTTCAACGTTCAAAAGAAAAGTTTCTCCAGTTTTGTCACATTTGTTGAAGCATTCTGGGTAAGAAACTTTCCTGACCTAATATATCTAATTTCCTTTCTATTTTGTGTAGGTTGAAACACAGCCAAATGTTTCCCAACCGTTTGTCAACACACAATGACAGAGTTAGTCGCCAATTTATCATGTTGACTGTTGAGTAACATGATAATGTTCTGTCAAATATCATCTGTATACAAGAAAAAAATGACAATAAATCAAGACATGAATCACACCTTGAAAGCTACATGAGACTTGCAAGTGTTTTTAATTGCGATTGCACTCTTAACTTGCTTACCAGGTTCATCTTCAAAACAAAGTTAGATTAAATCAGACAGGGGATAAACCTGACATCTACTGGAAACTCAAATCATATTCTAGATTCCATCCATTATAAGAAAACTTACCTTAAATGTAGGATAATAATAAAGCAAGGGAAGAAAACAGAATGCACAAACGTGTAAGTTAATCATGATAATTATGAAACAACTCATTCACAAGGCTTTAGAGGATAGATGATACAATTACAGACCAAGCAAGTAAAACAAAACATTAATTTAACAAGAAATCCAAACAGAAAATGATCCAAGAAAAAATGTCCATGACCAAACAAGTTTCATGAGACACATACAGGGAAAGTGGAGCTTGTTGGGAGGATCAAGACTGAGCCTCCTCCTTGTAGGAAGCAGAGACTTTGCCACAGATGAAACCGTGGCCGAAGACTGATGAGTGGATCTATCAAGAGATTGAAGACTCTGGTTTTGCTGATGGACATTGTGCATATAAGAAGCTGTAGAAGATGAGGATGAAGGAGTGTGTGTTTGCCAAAATGGCATTCTACAAAAACTCCAAACCTTCCCATCAGACCCTGATTTTTCACTCTCCACCTCCATTCTTAGCCGGAATCTCACCGGGAACGGTCACTTCCGGCAACTGGGTCTCAGAATTGCTTGCAAAGTTTTAAGCTTTTTATTCACTAGGTGAAGGACCAGAAGGTAGATTTGGCACTTATAGCAGAAATCCTATATGGGTAGTCACTATTGGTGAAAGCACTCAAACGTAGTAAGCCCGAGAAAACCCCAAGATTGTTGAATGTGACCTTACGTTGTATTTGATTTACAACTTTTTCTTGTTTTGTCCAAAATGGTGGTTGTTACTGGTTAGCACCTTTATGAGTGAGACAATTTGGTAGAAGAGAGGATTGGGGTGTGAATTTTACTGTGATGGAATGAACAACTCGGATCTCAATGCTTCCAATTTTATGTATTTGATTTGTGTGTTTGAGTTCCGGTTGTTTATGGGTTTTGCAGTTGGTTTGATTCTACCATCTCTGTAATCATTTGCTGCTTCTTTTTGAGATTTCACATATAAGATTGGCATCTCACCTTTTCATCCCTCGTAGTAATTTCTGAATTTACAGGGGATATAGAATAAATTTTTATTTGTCTGAAAATCTCGTTTTTTAAAAATATGATTTTTGCATTCAGTTTATGATAATATTCAAAAATTAAAAATTTAAAAAATTCAATTTGTCGGAAATTCCGAAGAATCCTGCATACTAAACGTCCTAAAAGATGGGATTATTGTTTGTTATATTTTATATATTAAAAATGTATGATTTCATTTTTTTTTCTCTTCATTTTATATGACTTTATATAAATTTCATACATTTTATATGTCAGTAAAAAATAAAATTATCTTTTATAATTTTAGAAACGTTAATTCCTTAAATAAATTATCTGAATCTTTGTTTTTGTTGATTATTTTAATTTTATTTGCTAACCATATTCTAGAATAGTTATTACTCAAATTATCATGTAATTGTCTGCTAGGTGATTAAGGTATTGGTGCACATGATTGCCTCCATTTATTTGTTTCGTTTTATCTGTTTTTTTTTTTTCCCTTTCTTTTCTTAGTTTATATAAAAACATAAATCCATGATTTGTGGTAAACAGTAACACCAGAAAAGGTGTAGGATGAGTTGTGATTTCTGCTCTTCCAAGCAAAAAGCAATTTAGATAAGAACAAAAACAAGATCAGCATCAGACAATCAACTTGGCTTCAAATGTAAATATGAAATAAAAAGTCATGGATGGATGCTTTTACCAAATTGACATTTCGTTCCTCCTTTTTATTCCCTCTTTTGTTTGATTCTCCTTGTGCTTGAAAAGAATACAGGAAAGCTTCTTTTAGCTCAAGAGTCTATCCCATAATGCCATGATATGCTATGATAGTGGAACATTACCAGTGGGTGATAATTAGGACTAATTGAATAATACACTTTTTGATTTATTATTTTTCATATTTATATAAGGTTTGTATAAAACATGTTAAAAAATAAGTTATTAGCATTTCTCAACAAAAGAAATTCACTTATCCTCTTTCTTGTGGTCCTCTTGCATAAGGGCATCTTTATCCCTTTTGTTTTCAGTATATTATATCATTATGTATTGGTAATTACTTTAATCAGTAATTTGCTTGGGAATAATCAAACACCCATTGCCCTAAAAGCTTACTTTTCTCTTCTAAATATTTGAATTTGAACTCTGTGTTTGTGCACATAGTTGGAATGAAAGGTTTACGTGAGAAAGATGAGCAATAATATGGCCTGTTTGAATACTGTTTTTAAAAATTATTTTTAATTATAAAAAAATAAAAAAAAATATGTTTGATAATACTTATTTTATAAAAATATTTCTAAAAATTATAAGTACTTTTTAGTTTTTAGAATCAAATTTAAAAAAATATATTTACGTTGTTTCTATTTTGTGTTTTGACTTTTAACTTTCAAATAAAAAAATATTTAAAATACTCATTTCATTAACTATTCTAACCAATGTTATTAGAACCGGACCGGTCATTGACCCGGTCGAGGTACTGGGTCACTGGGTCAATGGTTCAACCGGTGGGTCACCGCATGAACCGGGTATATATATAAATTTATATTTTATACTTAATTATATAATAAATATTTTAAATGGTGTAATTCAAACAATAACCTGATGTAGTCTAGTGGTAATTACTATATTGTCTATCCTCAATGTATGGAGTTCGATTCCTATTAGATGCAATTTTTGAAATAATTCTATTAACTTAACAGTTATATAATAAGTATATTAAATGGTGCATTATATTTAACAGGTAATGATAGCGTAGTGGTTCAAAGGTGCGCTCCTCACATCAAAGGGTTGGGTTCGATTCTCACTTGGTGCAAAAATTGGAATATTTTGTAACTTATTTTAAAAAACCGGTACCGGTTTACACCGGTTCAACCGCGGTTTATGACCGGGTCACCGGGTTGATACCGGGTCGAATGCTTAAACGGTCCAATACTGAAACCGGACCGGTTGATGGGCCGGTTTCCGGGCCAACCGGTCCGACCGGCCGAGCCGGTTTTAATAACACTGATTCTAACAAATAATGAGTCTATTATTCATGTTTTTCGGGATTGTGCAGTTGTCCATGAATTATGGTGCGAATTTATTCCTCTGCTGCACCAGGATGAATTCTTCACGGAAAATCTTCATTCTGGGCTGTGTGATTTTTGGTTTACAGAAAAGCTAGATATCCGTAATTGGTATTCTATTTTTTTTTTGATTTTATTTTTCAGATTTGGTGTTGGAGAAATGAGGTTGCTCATTCTCATTTAATAGCTCCTTCGCCGCCTCATTCTGTTGGTGTCATTAAGCGTACCCTTCTTGATGTATTGGGGTCTTTTTCCTCTTCTATTTCTCATCCAGTGGAGGCTTTGGTTCGTTGGGACTTTTCCTTTCTTTGAGTTTATTAAACTTGACACTGATGGTGCTGTTAAAGGAGTTCGTGTTGTTGCTGCTTGTAGTGGTTTAATTCGTAATTACCAAAGGAATTGGGTTCTTGGATATTCTGCTCGTATTGGTATTTGTAATGCATTTCCAGTTGAGTTATGAGGGTTTGGTATGGTTTTAATATTGTGTGGCACAGAGGTTGGTGTTGTCTAATTCTTGAGAGCGACTCTACTTCGGTGGTCGTTTTGCTCATTAATCATGGTGGTGCAGCTCGTTAGTCTCATTTGTTGCCTCGTATATGGACACTTTTAGATCGTGATTGGCATGTCTTGGTTACACATGCTTTTAGAGAAGCCAACAATTGTGCTGATTGTTTAGCTAATCTCCCTATTCTGAATTCTTCTTGTTCGTGGTTTCTCCTGTTTCGTTAAAATTGTTGCTTTAGGCATATGTTGCTGACGATCGGGATAGTTTTATTTATTTTCTGCTTTTATGCTTTCGTTGGTTTTTGTTTTCTTTATTTTGTATTTTGCTTTTTCAATTTCGTGTATCAAAAAAAAAAAAATAAAGAATAATTTTAATAATAAAAAAAGCATAACACAATCAAACATATCTTAAATTGTTTATTAAGTAAACAAAATAAAAGGGTTTTGTTTTTTGTTTTAGAGGGAATCAGGGTAAATTTTTTATTTTGAATTAAGAAAATTATATAATATTTATAAAAAATAAACAAAATAATTAAATATTTATTTAAAATAAAACATTATCTTTTCTTTTCTTATGGTTGTTCATCAACCGATCAAACCAATTGAAACCGCGGTGGCCGAACCGAAAAATCGATAATCGAAAACCAAAAAATCAAAGAAAAAAACCACAAATTTTAATTGGATTGGATCCTTTTTCGGTTTGGTTGGTGAAAACTGATCCAATCTAAACCGATCCAATATATTAATTTTTCTCTACCTACTTAAGTCTTTCCCCAATTATAGTCCAAAAAATTCTAAATTCAAAACCCATTAACTCATCGGCTAAATCCAAGAAAAAATCTAGTCACACCTCATCAACAAAATTTTGTCTATGTAGAGCTTCATATCTTATTGTCCAAAAAAAAATTAGATTATAATTTACTAAAACTTTACAAAGCCAATACATACAAAAGATATGTTGTTTGCACAATAATCACTAAACAAATTTTAGGCTTTTGAAAAAATCGAAGACCAATATGTTATGAAATATTTCCATATCCTAACCACGTACCCAATGATCTCTTAAAGGATAATTACCCAATTATCCTAACAATATAAAATAGTAAGACTGCTAAGGATAGAGTCTCTATCCCAACAGAAAGGAAGTTGAATCCCAATATAACTGGGAGATCTACACAAGTCCAAGAGGTAACCTTTATAAATAAAAGGTTAAAGACCCCAGGTACACACTTTTGACCTATATACTATTGCTGTCAACACTATGCACACACCCACGTCTTGGTTATAAGCCTATTGATTGTGCACAGTGATTGAAGTATTGGCTATAAGCCAATCTGGATACCTATCTCTAGGGTATCTCTGAGCGCATACCATACGGTATAAAAATACGGTTCTCTAAGACCGAACATTGGCGCCGTTTGTGGAGAACAAAAGGCTTCAAGTTTAATAGCTCGGCCTTGGCCTTGAGCTTCAACTCAGCCAAGTGAAGGGCTTCAAGAGTAAAGCTCGACCTCAGCCTTGAGCTTCAACTCAGCCTTGAGCTTCAACTCAGCCCTGTGAAGGGCTTCATGATTATCAACTCAGCCTAGTGTAGGGCTTCAAGTTTAAAAGCTCGGCATCAGCCTTGAGCTTCAACTCAGCCCAGCTAAGGGCTTCAAATTTATTAGCTCGGCCTCAGCCTTGAGCTCAGCCCAGCAAAGGGCTTCAAGTTTAAAAGCTCGACATCAGCCTTGAGCTTCAACTCAGCCTAGCTAAGGGCTTCAAATTTATTAGCTTGGCCTCGGCCTTGAGCTCAACCTAGCGAAGGGCTTCAAGTTTAAAAGCTCGGCATCAGCCTTAAGCTTCAACTCAGCCCAGCTAAGGGCTTCAAATCTATTAGCTCGGTCTCGGCTTTGAGCTCAGCCCAACAAAGGGCTTCAAATTTATTAGCTCGGCCTCGGCCTTAAGCTAAGTCCAACGAAGGGCTTCAAGTTTAATAGCTTGGCCTCGGCCTTGAGCTCCAATTTAGCCCAGTGAAGGGCTCCAAGATTAAAGCTCAGCCTCAGCCTTGAGCTTCAACTCAGCCCAGTGAAGGGCTTCATGATTATCAACTCAGCCCATCGTAGGGCTTCAAATTTAAAAGCTCAGCATCATCCTTGAGCTTCAACTCAGCCCAACTAAGGGCTTCAAATTTATTAGCTCGGCCTCGGCTTTGAGCTCAGCCCAACAAAGGGCTTCAAGTTTAAAAGCTCGGCATCAGCCTTGAGCTTCAACTTAGCCCAGCTAAGGGCTTCAAAATTATTAGCTC